TTCACACATTGTACCCATGTCGGGATTCGAACCCGGGTCTTCGGCGTGACGAGCGAACGCTTTAACCACTAGGCTACCCGATCGCCCCTTATATGAAAGTATTGAAACGGGTTGCTCTATAACACATATATAAGAAAGCCACAAAGGCTGATTCAACATATCCAAATATGTTAGCGACGTTAACTTTAGGAGGTTCCAACAAACAGAGACATCTTATTGGCCACGGTTTGAGGAACACTACTCCCATGTAATACTCATTCTATTTTTAGTAACTCAAGCCAATACCGTAAATCATCAGACCTGACCTTAAGTAAATATGCGTTTCTGTCGCATAATTTCTCGGCCAATGAATATTGCGGAAGTATTTGCATTATAAGGAATACCGAATAATGCTTACTGCTGTGATTAATAACACTTCATATACACATTGATGAAATGAAGCCATTTTATAGACATAGACAGTTTTCAAAGCCCATATCACAGGGATATGATAACTAGAGCCCCATTAAACCTATTGGCTGTATCATGTTTCCTTTACTGGTATCGGTCCGGTCATTCAGAGTAATCTCCCTTGGTTGCACAGTACTGTGATCGTCTGCTTGCGGAAGTCGGAAGTGTCGCTATGAGCGCCAAAGAAGGTGACATAGACGTCTCGGGGTGATATAGGTGTCTTGGGGTAATATAGGCGTTTCGGGGTGTTCGAGGTGTCTCAGGGTGATATAGGCGTCTTGGGGTGATATAGGTGTCTCAGGGTGATATCGGCGTCTCAGGATGTTGTAGGTATCTCAGGGTGATATAGGCGTCTTGGGGTGATATAGGCGTCTCAGGTTGATATCGGCGTCTCAGGGTGTTGTAGGTATATCAGGGTGATATAGGCGTCTTGGGGTGATATAGGCGTCTTGGGGTGATATCGGCGTCTCAGGGTGAAATAGGGTGTCACAGGGTGATATAGGCGTCTTGCGGTGATATAGGTGTCTCAGGGTGATATAGGGTGTCTCAGGGTGATATAGGCGTCTTGGGGTGATATAGGTGTCTCAGGGTGATATAGGCGTCTTGAGGTAATGTAGGCGTCTCGGGGGTAATGAAGTGTGTGGTTTGAAATTTGACAGCTATGGCAGGGTAAAAAGGTTGAAAGTACTCACCCATGGTTGATAGTAGTCTCCATTATCTCCGTAATCTCCAGTAACCTGAAAATAGTGTCGCAACTTGCCCTAATTACCTTACACCGTTAACTAACAACCCGCCAGTCAAACAGAAGTACACACCCATGTTTGATCGTACATAAAATGAAGCAAACAAGAAATAGTTTAACGATGCTGGTGTATACACGGGTATCATATTTGTGTTTCAGACGTAACTTTGCAGTGTTTCGCAGACTGTTTTCAGCTTATTAACTAGTTGATAACGTTCGTATTTTGGGGTCATATCCAATTTTAAAGTGTGTACTTTCTTTTGTCCGTTTATATGACCTTTAACTATCTTGAAAAAAATATAATCGATGATAATATGTGCGTTGATCAACATTTACATTTTTGTGTATTTTCAGTGTTTAAACGAAATCCTGCCACGCAAAATGCCGCCCCTCTATATGTTTCCGGCAGCATCTCTGGTAGATATTTGCTGCTGATGATACAAGAGGGTATCGCTACATATCAATATTGTCTGGCACCAGTGACAGACCCGGGTTGCCCAGGGGGAAGTTTTTTGTAGTTCCAGATTGAAGATAGCGCCGTCGATTAGAAATCCGATACAGTGATTTCTATGAGTGTCTACCTAGCGCCTTCGCATTGTAGACCAGTCAACTACTAGGTTGATATAAAAGTGGGAATACGTCTTCAAATAGACCACTGCAGTTATTTACGTTCGGTTTATTTTAGGATGCGTATTTTGGTTGCTAATTATTTCGAAGGTAAAAAGTACCAAACTCATTTCCAATTACTACATACTTGAAGGTGGCAGGCACGTGGAAATCACATGTAGCCAAGGTGTAAATTATTCAAGGTTGCTGTAGTACCTTGGACATTGACACACACGTGGGGCTGCTCCAAGGGTCAGCGTGACCTTTCAATCCATCACGTGACAGTATCCATAATGAAGGATTACCAGTTCTACATACTCGGCAAGAAATATTCAGACGGGTTCATTTTAAATACAATCGTCATGGCCTTGGTATTGGTTCCATTAATATTCCATGTCACTCTTTATGCACCCGCAGGCATGATTAGATATTAAGATTATCCTGCGCCTAATCACCCTGATCTCGCTTTGGGAAAACGATACGATTGTTGTAAGTCGGCCAGGTGTGTGATTCTTAATGATCCCTTTAATAATTAACCTATTATCTTAAAAGCCATGTTGAAGTAAATAGGATTCGATTGCCACGTAGTCTATTTTCAGAGTGACGTAGACCTTAGTGTTTCCGCTCGGGTCTCTGGGCCCAGGTAGGAGGACGTGGTCAGCCACTACACGACACCTGGCAACGTTGGGTCAGGCCCCCTCTGACGACAACAACCTTGGGGATAACAGACACGTCATTAAACATGGATATATGACCCCGTGTTGTTGCCGTATGTTGGCCGGCGAGCTGTGTTCATTGTGTTGTTATTATCAGGTTACATACTTATTATTATTAATCGCTAAAAGTGGACCTGATTGCACCTTTTGACCAGTTATTATATTTCCTCGAATCTGTTATAAACCTTTTATAGTTTTATGGTCTGTGTACCTGAGACAGAATGTAGATATTTGAGACATGCATACAGAGATCTGAGACATTGAAACATGCATACAGATATCTGAAACATGCATACATATATCTGAAACATGCATACAGGCATCTGAAACACGTAGACAGACATCTGAAACATGCATACATATATCTGAAACATACATACAGCTTATCTGAAACATGCATACAGATATCTGAAACAGGTACACTGGCATCTGAAACATGCATACAGATATCTGAAACATGCATACAGGCGTCTGAAACACGTAGACAGACATCTGAAACAGGCATACAGAGATCCGAAACATGCATACATAGATCTGAAACATGCATACAGAGATCTGAAACATGCATACATAGATCTGAAACATGCATACAGAGATCTGAAACAGGCATACAGACATCCGAAACATGCATACAGACATCTGAAACATGCATACATATATCTGGAAATTACATACAGCTTATCTGAAACATGCATACAGATATCTGAAACAGGTACACTGGCATCTGAAACATGCATACATATATCTGAAACATGCATACAGCTTATTTGAAACATGCATACAGATATCGGAAACAGGAACACTGGCATCTGAAACATGCATACAGATATCTGGAACATGCATACAGATATCTGAAACATTCATGCAGACATCTGGATCATGCATGCAGATATCTGAAACATGCATGCAGATATCTGAACCATGTATACAGACATCTGAAACAGGCGGAGAGACATCCGAAAGAGGCACTCAGAGATCTGGACCAGTCATACCGAGATCTGCAACAGTTATACAGAGATGTATGTATAACAGTTGCGGGTGAATGACCACAGACACTAAAACTACTCAATGGTGTACAGAATCAATTAATACTCCCTAATTGTGCAGGGTCAAAGTACAATGTTGCGCGATGCGGCCCATGATGACGTCAGCACTGAGGACGTGTGAGGCGGCACAGTCGATCGAGTGATATACTTACAGGTCTATGTGGAGATCAATACCGCGGGCGATGTGACGATTAATGTAAGAGGGACAGAAGCTGTTTACAACCTCGTGTCAGGTCGTGCCCTCAGATTCCTCCATTTATGTGATTGACTATTGTAAATCTCCGTTAACAGACTAACTAGTGTCACAGCAAAACGCATTAGTCAGAGAGAGCCCCTGCACTCTGTCCATCCCTCAATATAATCTAACAATTTATAAGCTCTACTTTAAACGTTTCATTCTCACTGTCAATATTGTGGCGTCGCCGTCAACAGCACTTTCGGGTGATTTAAACGCGTAACGACCGACTTGAACCGGCATCAGATGAGATAGCGCCGATTTAATCCAAGGCCAGACGATCAAGGAGATGGTCCAGGAGATGTAGTGTCAGGTTTGTAAAAGTAATTCCTTTGTCTGGTTAACGTCCTATGTTTAGAATGTTTGGAATATTGTCCGAGTTTGGGTTAGGTGAGACTCATTCCTTGTACATTCGAGGAGAGGATGATGAAGCTATGTTGCACAATGTTACACACATATGATACAGTGGAACCCCTTAACTCGAAGCATGGTGACCAGAGATTCTATAACGTGGTATCCGCAGTGTGACTGACTGAATATGGTTTTACGCCGCTTTTTAGCAATATTCCAACAATATCACGGCGGGGGACACCAGAAATGGGCTTCACACTCCGCAGTGTGAGGCAAACGGAGTGCCGGTATTGGGCTAAGGGAGTTGATGGAGTTTCATGTGTATTTCAGATGGCGTTGCCAAAGACCATTGGTGCTGGTCTCCGAGGCTGATTTATCTCTATTCCATTCTTCTACACTCTGGGTCATCGGAGGAGTTATGCGCATGTACGGGCTCACACCTAGGCATGGCGGACATTTTGTACATTGCAGTAGGCTTTACTCTCATAAAGCGATTTGATGCTCCGGTTATCGTTTCCCTCAATGAGGATATATATCTTCTTCTGCCCCGTGCTTAGTCATAATACATCAGACGTAGATTGCTCTGTTGTAGATGATCATGGAAAAATGACCTCGACTACATGTCTGACGAGCCAACGGTCATACCCAGGGCAGGGCAGTGCACGGCAAACTGCAGTGCTTAAGGTGACAGGGCTACCCGTGCCTTTTTTAGACACAGGTCACTATCCGGTCATGACAACAGGATTAACTGTCATCGCCCAGTGTTTGGCATCACATGAAATGAGGAAGGAATGGCAGCGTCGTCGTAGGTGCAAGCAGTTGCGCCATCGGCGTCACGCGATGTTATTTGGCGTATGGAGGTTTCTTCTCGACTTCACAGATGGCTGGTCGTGTTTGGAGACGTGTTCTTGAGCGCCATCAGCATTGACCGATGTGGTGGGGACTCGGTGACTGCACGGGCTGGCATCACCTATAGCAAAGACGTGTATAGATCTATATACGCCTTTGCCTATAGCTACAGGACAGGGATTTGTGATATGCTGCTAAAGTTTTAATGTATCTATATACGTAATGTTTCCACAGAGGGTTACACGTTCCGCAAGTTGTCCATTTTCCAAAGGGCATAGAACCCTTACTGACTTTTCACAGCGAAATCATTTACTGAGTTGGCTTAAGTGTTGGTAGATATACCTCTATGACATCATGTAATGTCAACATCAGAAGGGTTCACCATAACGTAATTCCTTGTAAGTGAGGCTTAGAACTCCATCAACCGTCGCACTCTCGTTCAAGGGGGTGAACATATCTATAACGGATGGCATCCATTTATTACTATTCTGTTTGGATTGCTATCATCGCGGATTAATAAGTTAATGTTGACCATTTTGTGGAATTTCTTTGAAGGACTAGCCCAAAAACTTTATTATTTAATTCGCACTTACACAGTACTGATTACCAGAGACGTTTCAAAATTATCCATATCTCACAAACGGTTACTTCTTAGTGATGTTAAAAAACCACAGGATGACAAAGCTAAACAAATAAAAGTGTTAAGGTGGAATCAAGTGGAATCAGTGAAGTATTCTGGAGATTAACATGAAGTGAAATACAATCTCTTCACACGTATACATATTAATGATATATATATTAGCTCTGTAATTTGACTCACTGTCATCAATTTCTAAGTATGTCATTGGACTTGCTTATTGTGGAAGGGTGCAATATAGAGACATACTGGCCTGTAGACAGTCAGAGATGAAGCGACCGAAGTGATGCAGATCCGAGGCGATATCCGACGATAGCAATGAGGCGAAACTAAGAATCGAACAACGACTGTGGGAATGCGGCCCCTTGGACAGTAAGCAACGCCTAATCCATGGACGGCCAGCAACCCCCCTCCCATTGACAGCACAACCCCCCTCCCATTGACAGCACAACCCCCCCACCCACCCCCACCCCCCACCCCCAATTGACGGCCAGCAAACCCCCTCCCATGGATGACCAGCAAACCCCCTCCCACTGACGGCCAGAACCCCCCCCCCCCCCCCCTTTGACGGCTAGCAAACACCTCCCATTGACAGCAACCCCCAACAATTGACGGCCAGCAACCCCCCTCCCATTGACAGCAACCCCCTCCCATGGACGTCCAGCAAACACCTCCCATGGACAGCGACCCCCTCCCTGTGACAGCAAACACCTCCAATTGACAGCAACCCCCTCCCATTGACGGCCAGCAAACCCCTCCCACTGACAGCAACCCCCTCCCATTGACGGCCAGAAAACACCTTCCATGGACAGCAACCCCCTCCCACTGGCGGTCAGCAAACCCCTCCCACTGACAGCAACCCCCTCCCATTGACGGCCAGCACACACCTCCCATTGACAGCAACCCCCTCCCATTGACGGTCAGCAAACCCCTCCCATTGACGGTCAGCAAACCCCTCCCACTGACGGCCAGCAACTCCCTCCCATTGACTGCCAGCAAACCCCTCCCATTGACGGTCAGCAAACCCTTCCCACTGACGGTCAGCAAACCCCTCCCATGGACGGTCAGAAAACCCCTCCCATGGACGGTCAGCAACCCCCTCCCATGGACGGCCAGCAAACCCCTCCCATTGACGGTCAGCAAACCCCTCCCATTGACGGTCAGCAACCCCCTCCCATTGACGGCCAGCAAACCCCTCCCATTGACGGTCAGCAACCCCCTCCCATGGACGGCCAGCAAACCCCTCCCATTGACGGTCAGCAACCCCCTCCCATTGACGGCCAGCAAACCCCTCCCATTGACGGTCAGCAAACCCCTCCCATTGACGGTCAGCAACCCCCTCCCATTGACGGCCAGCAAACCCCTCCCATTGACGGCCAGCAACCGCCTCCCAGGGACCGTCAGCAAACCCCTCCCATTGACGGTCAGCAACCGCCTCCCAGGGACCGTCAGCAATGCCCCTCCCATTTACAGCAATCCCCTTCCATTTGAAAGATGTGACCAGTCCATTACATCAAACTAAATATCAGAACGAGCACAACATAACTATATAAAATATATAATAGATAATGATCGAGTTGTGATGTTGTGGTGGCAACACAGAACTTGACATCCACCCCACCCCACCACACCACACCCCACCCCACCCCACCCCACCCCACCACACCACACCACACCACACCACACCACACCACACCCAGTTGTGATGATTACTGTCACTTCATGGTGGCAACATGGCTTGTACCCGCGTGAAGACGATAGGTGTGAATATAATGTCTGTATCAGCCGAAAGACTGGTGTCACAACAGCACTGAGCTATATAGAGACTGTACTTTAGTGCCGTTATAGTTATCTACTTAAAAAAGAAGTAACTGTTCATTCCGACAGGTTTCTCAGCACAGAGCAGCAACACCTAAAAACTACTCAACTATTTCCTGCGAGGTTCTCACGAAGAATCCATTGGAAATCCTCATTTTGATGTATTGCAACAAACAGACTCGTGTTTGTTCAAGTCACGTTAACAAAACCATGCAATGTTGCTTAAACTTCCGCGCATCACCTTCCAACGGTGAGACATTTCTGTGTATCATTATACTCTAAGCAAAACCGACAGTTGAGTCTTTTTGTATGCTCTGTGATTGATGGAACAGTTTTACAAGCAAAGCCCTTCTAGTGCTACCCAAACTACCTGGAAATGGATGAAGATTCTCGTTGTGGTCCATTGCCCATTCTACATGACCCCTGTCCGTACAGTAGAAATCTGTCAAAGTATTTATGGGAAGATAACCCTACCTTGTACCTAGCACTATACGACCCAAATACCCACCTGGCACAATCCGTCAAGATAATCCTAACTTGTACCGAGCACTATCCCTCACAGACAACGCTACCTGACACTATCCCTCACAAACAAACCCTACCTGCCACTATCCCTCTCAAATAATCCTACCTAGCACTATCAGACCCAATACCCTACCTAGACCTCGCACTATCTCTCACAGACAGTCCTACCTAGAAATATCCGTCCCAAATATCCCTACCCAACACTATCCGTCACAGACAACCCTACCCAACACTATTCGTCACAGACAACCCTACCCAACACTATTCGTCACAGACAACCCTACCCAACACTATTCGTCACAGACAACCCTACCCAACACTATTCGTCACAGACAACCCTACCCAACACTATTCGTCATAGACAACCCTACCTGACACTATCTGTCAGACAACCCTACCCAACACTATCCGTCACAGACAACCCTACCCAACACTATTCGTCACAGACAACCCTACCTGACACTATTCGTCACAGACAACCCTACCCAACACTATTCGTCACAGACAACCCTACCAAACACTATTCGTCATAGACAACCCTACCTGACACTATCTGTCAGACAACCCTACCTGACACTATCCGTCACAGACAACCCTACCCAACACTATCCGTCACAGACAACCCTACCTGACACTATCCGTCACAGACAACCCTACCCAACACTATTGGTCACAGACAACCCTACCTGACACTATTCGTCACAGACAACCCTACCTGACACTATCCGTCATAGACAACCCTACCTGACACTATCCGTCACAAACAACCCTACCTGACACTATCCGTCACAGACAACCCTTCCTGACACTATCCGTCACAGACAACCCTACCCAACACTATTCGTCACAGACAACCCTACCCAACACTATTCGTCATAGACAACCCTACCTGACACTATCCGCCATAGACAACCCTACCTGACACTATCCGTCACAGACAACCCTACCTGACACTATTCGTCATAGACAACCCTACCTGACACTATCTGTCAGACAACCCTACCTGACACTATCCGTCATAGACAACCCTACCCAACACTATCTGTCATAGACAACCCTACCTGACACTATCCGTCACAGACAACCCTACCTGACACTATTCGTCATAGACAACCCTACCTGACACTATCCGTCACAGACAACCCTACCTGACACTATCCTTCACAGACAACCCTACCTGACACTATTCGTCATAGACAACCCTACCCAACACTATTCGTCACAGACAACCCTACCCAACACTATTCGTCATAGACAACCCTACCTGACACTATCCGTCATAGACAACCCTACCTGACACTATCCGTCACAAACAACCCTACCTGACACTATCCGTCACAGACAACCCTTCCTGACACTATTCGTCACAGACAACCCTACCTGACACTATTCGTCACAGACAACCCTACCCAACACTATTCGTCATAGACAACCCTACCTGACACTATTCGTCACAGACAACCCTACCTGACACTATCCGTCACAGACAACCCTACCCAACACTATTCGTCATAGACAACCCTACCCGACACTATCCGTCACAGACAACCCTACCTGACACTATCCGTCACAGACAACCCTACCTGACACTATCTGTCAGACAACCCTACCCGACACTATCCGTCACAGACAACCCTACCTGACACTATCCGTCAGACAACCCTACCCGACACTATCCGTCACAGACAACCCTACCTGACACTATCCGTCACAGACAACCCTACCTGACACTATCCGTCACAGACAACCCTACCCAACACTATCCGTCACAGACAACCCTACCCAACACTATCCGTCACAGATAGACCTACCTTGTACCCAGCTGTATCGCGTATTACCTAGTAGTAGTATTAGTAGTAGAAGTAGTAGTAGTAGTAGTAGAAGCAGTAGTAGTAGTAGTAGCAGTAGCAGTAGTAGTAGTAGTAGTAGTAGTAGTAGTAGTAGTAGTAGTAGTAGTAGTAGTAGCAGTAGTAGTAGTAGTAGTAGTAGTAGCAGTAGTAGTAGTAGTAGTAGTTGTTGTTGTTGTTGTTGTTGTTGTTGTCACAGATCATCTTATACCTTACACAGAAAACCCGTTTCTTTGGATACGTTGAAATGTCGCATGCGCAATTCAGTTAATGCTTGAAAAAAAGTGCAATTACTTCATGACGCGACCGATCGATATTCTAATTGATACCGATGTCAGTGTTAGCGGTCGTAAAGCATGGATTACCATGCATGCAGTGAAGTTTAATTAAACTAATGTTTTGACATTTTACTTGATGAAGGACGACGTAAATAACATACAAACACAGTACCAGTCAGATGTGAATATACTTGAATTCACCTGTTTGAGTTGACCACGTAGTATGCAAGAAATAATAGTTTACTGACTTGCCCATCAAGTCAACTCCCCATATTAAGGAGTCGGATACAGCGAACATCTACCATAAACGTCAAAATTCTGAAAAAATAACGAAACGATTCTGCAAACGACACTGCAACAGCAGCAGCAGAAGTAGTAGTAGTAGTAGTAGTAACAGCAGTAGTAGTAGCAGTGGTAGTAGTAGTAGTAGTAGTAGTAGTAGTAGTAGTAGTAGCAGTATAGAAGTGGAGGTAGGAGCTGTAGAAGCGGTAGTAGTAGTAGTAGTAGTAGTACTTGTTGTTGTAGTAGTAGTAGTAGCAATGGTAGTAGTTGTAACAGTGGTAGTAGTAGTAGTAGTAGTAGTAGAAGTAGAAGAAGTGGTAGTAGTAGCAATGGTAGTAGTTGTAACAGTAGTAGTAGTGGAGTTAGTAGCTGTAGTAGTAGTAGTCGTAGTAGAAGTAGAAGAAGTAGTAGTAGTAGCAATGGTAGTAGTTGTAACAGTAGTAATAGTAGTAGTAGTAGTAGTAGTAGTAGTAGTAGTAGTAGTAGCAGTATAGTAGTGGAGGTAGTAGCTGTAGAAGCGGTAGTAGTAGTAGTAGTAGTAGTGCTTGTTGTAGTAGTAGTAGCAATGGTAGTAGTTGTAACAGTAGTAGTAGTAGTAGTAGTAGTGGTTGTTGTAGCAGTAGTAGTAGAAGTAGTGGTTGTAGTAGTAGTAGTAGTAGTAGAACTTACATTTGCACTGACCTCAAACACACTTTTTTTAAATCCCTGTCTATACAATACATATGCATATATTTGGACGTTTTGAAATGGACTATTGCAGCGTACATTTCTTGTGTGCAGTCGAATCTACATGTGCAGGGAGCATAGCAAAGCTTCAATGATGTTGATGACGATACTTCGCAATATCGGGGAAGTAAAAACTTGACAAACTACGCATGATAGACACAGCGGGCCCAGTATCAAGTAATCAGGCCATATGCAATTGTACATCAGCACTGCCGCAGCCTGTGGGGGATGTTTTTTCCGTTTACATTGGAGTAATTTATTTAAAACAAAGCAGAATATACAATATACATATGTTACCAACATGTTTTCTTTGTGCATCTATGTACTTATGTTGTTTTTATTTCATAAATAAGGTAACATAATTATTACCTGAATAATACCTGTTTAGTGTCTGTATTTCCAATATATGTTTATTTTGTCTAGATGTTTGTTTGTTTGGTATTTCACGCCGCCCACAGCAATATTACAACTACATGACGGCGGTCTGCAAACAATCGAGTCTGGACAAGACAGTCCAGTGATTGACATTATAAACATCGATCTACGCAGTTGGGATACGATGACATGCATCAACCAGGTCAGCCAGCCTGACCACATTTTTTCACATCCGAGTCGCGTTTCACTGCTAGGGATTGGACTTAGTCGTTTTTTCGACGAAAAATGAAAATCACGGAGAGTTTGGATGCAGCCCCTGTATTCTATATGCTCCGATGCGTTTCCTATGAATAATCTGAGTATTGTATAGATGTTGCCACTGTATTATTTACTATAACCTCCAGATACAATACACACTGGATGTAGACATGGATGAACTTCACAGTTTTGTATCCGATATTCACGTTTCATGTTCATCTCGTGTAAACGTGACTGATCTTGGCAATGTAATGTGCAATGGAATCCCCTGTATTGATAAGCCAGGCTAATCTGTGGGTGAGGGGACGAGTGTGTGTGGTGCCCCCCACGTGGTTATATCTAGAACCCCGGAGGAGGTGGGGTATAACGTCAGGCGGAATAA